CAGGTAATTTTTTGTCAAATAATATTTTGATGAAATAATAATTCAACTAAGAAAGAATTCATATTCTAATATTTTTTCTGTCTATTATAAATTCGTTTAAATTACTATTATGTTTAAGAAAAATTCTGGAAAAATGAAAATGTCGATAAATTAAAATTGGATCTTTAAAGTAAATTCTGTCAAGTGAAAGTTTGTGTATAAAAAATTGTGTATTATGGAAAATAATTTTTAACATTTTCATGTAAATGTTTAACTGCATACTCTTGAGATATAACACTTTGAGGAAATAATAGTACAATAGTGATTGTTTTAAAAAGGCATTTATTTTGTAAAATGAAAAGTCACTTTTGCAAAAAAATAAAACTTTAATTCATGGTTTAAAGGGAAACACCACCTTTATTTTAAACCCCTTTAAAATTAAATTATTAAACGAAGTAATATTTTTTCTTGCATCATTTTTAACCTAAAAACATATAAGATGGTCAAAAAAATTTAATTTTTGAAGAGATTAGAATTTTTTCTTTTCCCCTATTGTATATTATTGCAAATCCACGCGAGAAGTTGTATAAATTGTAAAATATGTATGGAAAAAAATTGGCGTTGAAAAATATTAAAAACTGTAACAGTAGAAGATCGATTTTTAATATTTTAAATTTTTAATCTTTAAACTTTGCCAAAATTTCGAAAGCCCTGACCCTTTAATTTTTTTCCAAATATACTTACGTAATTTGATGCGCTGATGCCAAATGCAGTTCGGTAAAATGTCATTTATAATTTTCGTCTGCTTTGGTCTTCTCTCTTGCATTCGTAGTGTAGAAATAAAAGTTGGCTATATTATAGTGAATCAATTGTCAAATATTTAAATCAATTTTGTGGTGTTAAATATTAAAAATTCTCCATAGGCGGCCATAGGCTTCCTGCTCCCCTGAAGTGTGACATCATTTATGGAAGCCGCCATACTTAAGGTCATGTTCATTGGTCACGTGTCCTATAGCTTCACTATTGGAACACGTGGCCATTGAATAACATGACCTTAAAGGAAAAAACAGTGTGAATTTAATAAAAATTTTAATTATCAATACTTTTCTTTAACCGTGCTTTCAGATATCCCTTTCAGTTTTCTAGTGGTCGATATATCGACCACCTTTTAAACAATCATTTTTTTCAACATAACTTCTAAAGTATAACTGTATAGAATTGCATATTTTTCATCTTCATACACGGAGGGAGAATATATATATCGTACATTAAATTTTGTAAAAGTATTTTACAATTTGGAGAAAAAAATCGACAAAGCGAAATTTGGATATATAAAAAATAAGTAGGGGAGAGTCTCCAGTTGTGAGACGGGTTTTATTTTTGACCCGTAAATTGTAAACGGATAAACGAAATTGTAAATAAAATACACCGTTCGAAAGGTAACAGAAATACGCAACTTTTATTAAAAGAAAGTATAGTGTTTCGATGAACTCAAAAAATTTTACGATACATTCTCCGAGCACATCGCTTTTTTCAAAAAAAAAAAATGTCTCCAGTTGTGAGACACTCATTAAAAATTGCTAAAATTTAATAAGTTTGACATAAAACGTTATGTTTAGTAGAAATAATTAAATATATTAATAATATATATTATTATATACTAAATAATAATATTTATTCGCCAAAATATGACTATCAAATAAACACAATTAAATAGCTTCAACAAGAGCATTAAAATTGATTTCTTCTGAATCAATTGACTTTTTTTCACTTGACCTGCCCAAAAATACTAGAAAAAAATCAGAACAACATTTAAATAGTATGCCTGCAAAGTCGTATTTTTTATGCTGCCCAGATGGGTGTTGACACCGTCTCACAACTGGTGATATGCTGTGTCTCACACCCAGAAATCGGCGCTATTTTGAAAAAGGAAAATTAAATTATTTTCAACCGTAGATTGGAACAATGCAATATTGCATCACAAAATATAAGGAAAACACTAAAAGAAAATGCATTACATTTACCTTTTCCAATTAATTAACTTGGAAAAAAAGTACTTTGCATTTATTGAAAAAACGCTTTTTAGTCGATTATCACACACAGTGTTGGTATTTAACAAAAACAGTTTATATATCCGCTTCGGCGTACTCGAAAAAGTTGGCTCATATAAAAAGAAATGTTTTTATATAAACCAATCGGCTTTTTAATATTGCATGTTAAAAAAAATTGACTGTCTCACAACTGGAGGTGTCTCACAACTGGAGACTCTCCCCTACTAAACTGGGGCATTCTTTGTCAAATTTTACCCCCTATCTGTCCATTTTTAATTCGAACGAAAAAAGTCAAAATAGGGCTTAAATTAAAGCTTGTAACCTCTATTTTTATTTGTATGGTGGCCTTTTTTAAAAAATTTCACTTTTTGTTAAAAAAATATGATTTAATTGAGAGGCACTGTAAATATACAAAATATTTATTTTTATGATTAACGGGCTCAAGACATATTATATATGTATAAATAAAAAATAAAATAAAAAGAAATTACAAAAACCTATTAATTTAAATAAAAATTTTTTTGTCAGAATTTTCATCTATCCATATCGAGGCTCCATTAGAAAGACAAGGACAGTGATATCTTACTATAATAGAGCCTTGATGGATGAATGAAAGTTCTGCTGACTGAATAGCTGAATGATTCAGAATGTCGGTAAAATATGGAATCTATTGTGTGACAGTTGGACCATAATAAACATTTTGTTGAATAAAAATTATGACTACGTCATTATAAGGGTAAATAGAATTTTTTTCAAATAAACTTTTATTTCAATTCAACATTCTGTAATTAATATATACATAGGAAAATTGGTTCAACAAATTTTTCTTTAAATTAAAATTTTTCAAAATCTGTACGCTGAAAAAAAAATCTATTTGATTCAAACAAACCGATTACTTGACTATTATCAATTAAATATTTAATTGAATCAAATCATATTTATTGGAGTCAATTAAATGGTATTTGAACCAATAATTTCAGTATGTATTTGAAACAAATATCATTTAGTTAACTCCAATAAATATTATTTTATTCAAGTAAATATTTAATAGATATAATAGTCAATTAATAGGTTATTTGAACCAAATAATTTTTTTTCAGTGTACGAAATAAGCAATGAAAAATAATCAAAATTAAAAAAAGTTCAAATTTTAATTTTTCGAAAATTTCTAGTTTTCTCGTGGGCTTGAACAAACTTTAAAATTTGGTGGTAAATATTAGTGTTTACAAATTTTAACGCTCATAACTTGTTTAGCGTTTTAAAAAATTCATTTAAAAAAAATTTTCTTTTTTTAATTTAAAAAAAAACACATTTTCATTGCGGATTTCCGATTTTTATATTTTATTTCTTACATTTATTATTTTGCAAATCATAGTAATAATTTGCAATATTTTTATTTAATTAATTTTCCTACCCTGTTTCAATTTTTAGAATTCTGTTTTCTTCTTAAAAATGACTGTTTTCTGTTAAATATGACATAAAAAATAATGTAATAAATATAAAATTTTCAAAATATCTATATAATAGAAATCTTTTTGTATAATTAAAATTTTGTAAAATTTAATTGAATATAATTAATTTTTTCAATAAAAATTAATGAAAATTAGGTTCTAAATATATAATATTAAAATAGTTTTGAAAAAAGTAATTCTCTGAATTATTATGATCTAATTTTTTAATGTTCAATTATTTTCAGTATTTTTGATATTCAATATTTTCAATATTTCCGAAAATTCAAATGCATACACAAAATAATAACATTATAATTTTTTAGAATTATTTTTAACATTTTGGAGAAAATAATCATATTCAAAATTTTTAATTAAAATTCTTCAAAAAATTATTGTTTTAAAAATTATATTAATTAAATTAAAATTTACTGCTTTAGAATTTTTGAGAAATCATTTATAATTAAAATTCTTCAAAAATTTGATAATTTTTTTATATTTTTTAAAAACTCAATTATTTTTAAAAGATTTTATCAAAATTTAAATTATTTTTCAAAAATTTTACTAAATTTAAATTATTTTTTAATAAATTTTACGAAATTTCAATATTTTGTACATTTTTTAATTGTATGTAATTGTAAAACAATAATTTTACAATACCTAGTCTTTCAAAAATTATTTAGAAATATTTTTTTAAAATCCGTTTGAAAAAATTCTATAAAATAAAAGAAAAATATTTATAGGAGTCCTAACATTTTTTTAAAGTAGTTATGGTTAAAAAACAATTTTTTCTAATTTTTAAAATACAAAAAAAATAATTAATCTTTCTTAATCTGACTGAAAATACTCTCATTTCATATCCGCACGTGAGACCTAAAATTTTTTGAGTTCCTGAGGTTAAAAAGATATGCCAAAAAATCGAAATTGAAAATTTTCGGTAAAACAATGCTTCCATTAGAAAGCAAAATATTTGAATTCCATTAAATATATTTGGAACACGCTAAATTTGAATTTTAATGTAGTCCTTACAAAAATGGTTTAAAAAATGATTTCTGGTTTATTTTATTCTTATAAATAAATAAATGAATGAAATGTTTAAAGTAGTAATCAAATGCGAATGTGCCTTAATGTTTTTCAAAGGAAAACAAAGAATTTTTTCATTAAGAGATTTTTCGAGAACAGCTTGATAAGTTATGAGCAATAAAATCTGCCACTATTTACGATCAAAATACGTAACTGAAATCAGTAAAAAAAATGTTATGCTTTGATGCGTGATTTAAACTTTGTTCAAGTTCACCGTGAAATGTCAGGTACAGCTAGAGAAACTTCTACTTAGTTTAATCTAAAAAAACTTTAATGTTTTTGAACAAATAAATATATATTTCTTTCATGTCTATTATTTGCTTTCAAAAAGTAAACTTTTTCTGCGCAGAAAACAGTTAAAGTGTCAGCTGATACTTGAAAGTGCTTGAAAATGCTTGAAAGACTAAAACTAATAGAAAATATGAACTTTTTGTTGCAGGACTCATTACGACAGTAAATGGACAGTTCAGGTTGGCTGATCCTGCAAAAGAATGGAAAATTATTGTAACTCATTATGGAGGATTAGCTGGACTTGCTTTGGCGGGTCTTCTTCTCGCAGCAATACTTCCATGTGTAGGATTATTTTTCTGTTGCTGTCGATGTGCCGGAAACTGTGGTGCTAGGAGCGAGCCTTTCGATAAAAAGCATGACCATTGCAGAAAAATCATGCTCAGCACTATCCTGATTTGCGTCGCTACAGTAATCCTGTAAATATTTTCAATTCATTTCAATTTTAGCGTACCCATAATGCTTAAAATAAGAAAAATTTAAAAAAAATTAAAGTTTTAAAAAGATGTCATTAGCTTATTTCATTATCCATTTGATAATTTATTTAATTTAATTAACGAAAGACTTAAATTATTTTCAAAAAGAATTTAAAGAGTAAAAAATCGAGAATTTAAAATCTTGAAAAAGTAAACTTTTTGTTACAATTTAATTAAAGATGTGATGACCCATCAAGTGGACCGAAGAATACTCTATGAAATAATTACAGGGTTGTCACAGGTCAGGGAATTCAGGGAAAAGTAAAATTGGTCAGAGAAATCAGGGAAAAGTCAGGGATTTTTAGCCCCTTCGCTGTTTAGAAAAATATTCATTTTATTGACCCAAAATGTCCATCAAAATCTTTTAAATTGTTATATTACTTAAAAATAATAAACAATTATTTATTTATTACTTTTTCTAGTATCATTGATACCTATAGTATGTGAATAATGATATAAAAGAATTTATTTCATTATTTAAATAACAAATTTCTATTTTTTGCTAAAACTTTCACGACCGAACGTTGGGTCGGAAACAGTCTGGGCCATCTTTTTTCACGACCCAACGTTGGGTCGCAAACAAGCAACGGGTTAGTAAAAGTACTGAAAAAATTGAATTTTTTAAATTCATGAGAAAACTCTGAATTTTGATGTTTTTTTGTTTGCCTCGTAAACTATGAAATTACCATGAATTTTAATACAAAACCTTCAATTTTTTCTATTTCTGACAATAATTTCTTTTTAAATAACTCAATTTTTCAAGAACTATCATAAAATTATGACTTATAAATTATTTAATAAATAATTTTTACAATTTTCATAAATACTAGGATTGATAGAAGAATTTCAGTTAAAAACACTAAAAAAATTGAATTTTTGAAAATTTACAAATGATTCCAGAAATTCAATTATTTTCAAAAGTTTATAAAAATTCTTCGCAGAATTTCAATTATGTTCAAAAATTTAAAAAAAAAATTCTCGTCAAAATTTCAATTATCTTTATAAATAATAAAACTCTTCATCAAAATTCAATTATGTATTTTTAAAAATTTTAATAAAATTCTTGACAAAATTTCACAGGAATTCAATTATTTAAAATACAAAATTTCATAAAATTTTTCGAAAAACAATTATTTAAAAAGATTTTGATAAAATTCGTCGCAAGAATTCAATTATTTCAAAAAAATTTAATAAAATTCTTTCCAAGAATTCAATTATTTTTATAAATAATAATATTCTTCACCGAAATTCAATTATTTTTATAAACTTGAATAAAATTCTTTACAAGAATTCAATTATGTTCAAAAATGTAAAAAAAATTCTCGTCAAAATTATTTTATGTCAAAATTAATTTATTATTGGGTCAGAATTCGTGAAATTTTCACAGAAAATAAAAAGTATTTTTTTTAAATCGAAATGTTGAAAAAACATTTCTATTTGGCCTTAAGAATGTGTCCACCAAAAAACAGGAAAAAAAATTATTTTTTATAAAAGTTATTGCAAAATTAATTTTTAGCAACTTTTTAAACAAAATTTTATTTCTCCTAAATGAATGAACCGATTTAAATGAACCAAGCGGGAATATCAAGTGGATAAAATATACTTTCGTTTAGAATTAGAAAATTTTTAAAAAGTTTATTTTTTAATAATTATTTAATAAATTTTTTATAAACAATTAATTTTTTTTAATGTTCTGCGCCTTTTAAAAATTTGAAAAAAATATTAACATACACTTAAAACTATAAGAAATCAAAATCCGTTGAGAAAATTTTGGAGCGACAATTATTTTAAAAGTTATAAACAAATTATATTGAACGGAGATGCGATTTTGATGATTTTCAGAATTAAAACATTATTTTTAACTACGAAATGAACAAAACACTGTCAAATTAACATTTTTATTCAATTATATAACCATAAAAATTGATAAAAATGATCAAAAACTAAGTTCAGCGTTGATGCACAACACCGCGCCAATATAATTTGTTTATAACTTTTAAAATAATTGTCGCTCCAAAATTTTCTCAACGGATTTTGATTTCTTATAGCTTTAAGTGTATGTTAATATTTTTTTCAAATTTTTAAAAGGCGCAGAACATTAAAAAAAATTAATTGTTTATAAAAAATTTATTAAATAATTATTAAAAAATAAACTTTTTAAAAATTTTCTAATTCTAAACGAAAGTATATTTTATCCCCTTTATATTCCCGCTTGGTTCATTTAAATCGGTTCATTCATTTAGGAGAAATAAAATTTTGTTTAAAAAGTTGCTAAAAAATTAATTTTGCAATAACTTTTATAAAAAATAATTTTTTTTCCTGTTTTTTGGTGGACACATTCTTAAGGCCAAATAGAAATGTTTTTTCAACACTTCGATTTAAAAAAAATACTTTTTATTTTCTGTGAAAATTTCACGAATTCTGACTTTTTAATTATCTTTATGAATAATAAAATTCTTCATCGAAATTCAATTATTTTTAAAAATTTTAACACAATTTCTTGGCAAAATTTCACAGGAATTCAATTATTTACAAAATTTTTAATAAATTTCTTCGAAATAATTCAATTATTTTTATGAGTACAAAAATTTTCACAGGTATTCAATTATTTAAAAAAATACAAAATTTCATAAAATTTTCCGAAAAATATCAATTATTTAAAAAGATTTTGATAAAATTCGTCGCAAGAATTCAATTATTTCAAAAAAATTTAATAAAATTCTTTCCAAGAATTCAATTATTTTTATAAATAATAATATTCTTCACCGAAATTCAATTATTTTTATAAACTTGAATAAAATTCTTTACAAGAATTCAATTATGTTCAAAAATGTAAAAAAAATTCTCGTCAAAATTAGGTATTTTATGTCAAAATTAATTTATTATTTTTAATTATCTTTATGAATAATAAAATTCTTCATCGAAATTCAATTATTTTTAAAAATTTTAACACAATTTCTTGGCAAAATTTCACAGGAATTCAATTATTTACACAATTTTTAAAAAATTTCTTCGAAATAATTCAATTATTTTCATGAGTACAAAAATTTTCACAGGTATTCAATTATTTAAAAAAATACAAAATTTCATAAAATTTTCCGAAAAATATCAATTATTTAAAATGATTTTTATAAAATTCGTCGCAAGAATTCAATTATTTCAAAAAAATTTAATAAAATTCTTTTCAAGAATTCAATTATTTTTATAAACTTGAATAAAATTCATTGCAACAATTTAATTATTTATATAAATAATAAAATTCTTTACAGAAATTCAGTTATTTTTTATGAAATTGAATAAAATTCGATTGAAGAATTAAATTATTTTCAAAAGTAATATAATTCTTTGCAGAAATTCAATTATATTAAAAAATTGAAAACAAAATCTTTTATCAAAATTTCAAGTATCTTTATAAATAATTTAATTCTTTTCCGAAATTCAATTAATTTAGAAATATTTTTCTAATATTCTTGGGAAAATTTTAATTATTTTCATAAATAATAAAACTCATCGCAGGATTTTAATTATTTTTGATACAATAATTTAACTGAATCCCTCGAAAAATGTAATTATTCTTAAAAATTTTATTAAAATTTGTCAAAAGAATTCAATTATTTAAAAATTTGTTGATAAAATTTTTTATGAGAATTTAATTTTAACACATATTCAATTATTCAATAAATTATTTATTTTTTAATTTAAATAATTAAATTCTTCTAGAATTTTCTAATAAGAATTGATTTAAAAATGAATTAACGAATAATCGATTTATTATTTATGAAAATAATTGAATTATTGCAACAAATTTTATTACATTTTTTTAAAATAATTGAATTTTTTTGAGAAATTTTACTACTTTTGTAAAAATAATTGAATTCTTGCGAAGGATTTTATTAGAATTTTTGTAAGTAATTAACTTTTTTTTGAAAAATTTTATGGTAATTTAAATTATTACAAAACATGAAGAAGATCACTCCGAGCTTTTGACTCGGAGTGATCGCAAATAAATGTAATAAAATATTTTCTTTGAGTGTCTAATAATTCTAATCAATATTTTTTAAGGTCAGGGAAAAAGTAAAAATTTTGTCTGGAAATCAGGGAAAAATAAAATTAAATATTTGTGGCAACCCTGAATTAAATATTTTTGAAATATCAATTTAAAAATGAATATTTTATGTGTAATAATTAGCTTGATATTAAAATAAAATTTTTAATTTCGAAATAAAAATTAATTTTTAGATTTGGTGTCGTTTGTGCCTTTGTAACGAACGAATATATGCACAACGGTTCTAAACAGCTACCAGAGAACACAAAAGTCAGCCTAAAGGATCTTAGACTTTACCTGGCGACTACAAAAAGGCAAATTGAAACTCTGCTTATAAGCAACTTTCATGAACTGGAAATTACATTGAATAACATTCTTCAACAAAGTGGAAGAATTGTAACTGAAAGACTCGCTGAATACTCTCACGCTGTTTCTCTTATGAATTTAAATGACATCGTTGCTGGACTTGGTGCAATCAAAGAAGATCTTACGATGATGAACAAAATTACTCGAGAATTAAGAGTCAATGCTTCTGAACTTGACATTGGTAATTTTAATCTTTTTTTATTTTGCAAAACTAAAATCAATTTTTTTTAATCTTCGGTGAGCTACCCAGGGTAGCCAGCAATATTAAATGTTTTAATGTTTGTTCGTAATTAATTTCATTTCATTTTCGTACTGGGGTACTTTCTGAGTTTCTGATTAGAATTGTCATTAAAATGGATGACAATGCAGATTCATAATTGCAGGCTTCGCACTCATCTACTAAAACCTACTATTTACAACTTTTTTTACGTTATGATACTATTTGGATACTTTTTTTAGATTGCAACCATTAAAAGCTACTATTTCTGTTTTTTTTAGAATTTCCTCTACTTTAAATTCGCTAATACTAGAAATTAAGAAACTATTTTCAAAAATAAATTATAATCAAATTCTTTAAAACGATTTAATTATTTTCAAAAAATATTCGAAATTTAATTATTTTCAATATCTAGTATTTTTATGAAAATTTGCAAAAGAATTCAATTATTTAAAAAAAAATTGATGAAATTCATCGAAAAGTCAATTATTTTCATAGGTAATAAAATTTTCTATACAATTCTTCATAATAATTCAATTACTTTCATTAAAATAACATTTTTCATGTAAAATAAATTTTTTAATAAATTTTTGATAAAATTCTAAGCAAGAATTTAATTATTTTCATAAATAAAATAATTCTTATCAGGAATTCAATTATTTTTGAACATTTTAATAAAATTCTTAGTAATTATTCAATTATTCTCATAAATAATAAAATTCATCACAGTTTTTCAAATATTTTTAATACAATTTTACAGGAATTGCTAAAAAAATGTAATTATTCTAAAAAATTTTATTTCAATTCCTTGAAAAAATCAATTATTTAAAAAAATGTTTTTTTAAAATTCTTTGGAAGAATTCAATTATTATCAATATCTAGTATTTTCATAAAATTTCACAAAAAAAATTCAATTAATTTCAAAAAAATTTATAAAATTCATCAAAAATTAAATTATTTTCATAAATAATAAAATTTCCACAGGAATTCAATTAATTTAGAATAGCATTTTCAAAAAAAATTCGAAAAAACCAATTATTTAAAAAAAAAATTTCATACAATTCTTCATAATAAGTCAATTACGTTCACTAACAGTAACATTTTTCATGAAAAATCAATTTTAAAAAAAAATTTTTGATAAAATTCTAAACAAGAATTCAATTATTTTTAAAACTATTTCAAATTAATTAATCGAAAAATTCAATTATTTTTACAAATAAAGTTTTCCACAAGAATTAAATTATTTAACATAAAATTTATTATATTTCGAAAAAACTTTTTATTTTAAACAATGTTTATAAAATTCTTATGAAGAATTCAATTATTTTCAAAAATAACATTTTTAAAATTAAAGAATTCAATTATTTTCAAAAGTAACATTTTCATAGAAATTTAATTCTTTTTTAAAATTTTAATAAAATTTTTCCCAATAATTCAATTATTTTCATAAATAATAAAATTCTTTTCAGGAATTCAATTATTTTTGAAAATTTTAATAAAATTCTTAACAAATCAAAATCCATTATTTATAATAGTTTTTAAAAAATGAATTTTTTAGAATTCGTTTATTTTTTGAATGAATTTTCAAATTCATTTTTTTAACAATTCAATTTTACAAAATTTTAATCATTCGGATATTCTTTAATTATAATCTAAAATTTTTAATGAAATTCATTTTTAAATCAAATTTTATTAAAAAATTCTACTAGAATCCAATTATTTAAATACAAAAATAAATAATTTATTGAATAATTGAATGTTTCTCAAAATTAAATTGTCATAAAGAATTTTATCAAAATATTTTTGAATAAACGAACTCTTTTGACGAATTGTAATAAAATTTTTAAGAATAATTACAGTTTTTGAGGAATTTGATTAAATTTGTATTAAAAATAATTGATATTCAGTAATGAGTTTTATTATTTATATGAAAGTAATTGAATTTCTAAAAAGAATTTTAGTATTTACGAAAATAATTGAATCTCTGTAAAAATTTGATTATTTATGAAAAATAATTAAATTATTGCGAAGGAATTTATAAAAAATCTGTAAATAATTGAATTCCTGTGAAATTTTTATTATTTCATGAAAATAATTAAATGTTTGCGTAGAATTTTATCAAAGTTTTTTTTAAATAATAGAATTCTTAATTTGGAAAATTTTATTAAGATAGTATAGATATTTAAATTTATTTAATTGAGGAAAATGTTTGAAAATAATTAAAATTTTACCAAGAATTGTATTAAAATTTTTGAAAATAATTGAATTTCGGAGAAGAATTTTAATAAGTATTTCTAAAGATAATTGAAATTTTGACGAGTAGTTTTTTAAATTTTGGAACGTAATTGAGACCTTGTTCAAGACCTGAGTGATTTATCATTTTATTCCAACAATAATAATGAATAATAAATAAATTGGCTAATAAAACAATTAATTTTAGTTGTTCGTGGAGTGAGAAGAAATCTACAAGATACATTATCAGCTTGTAACACGAACCAATGTAAAGAGGTTTTGCACCAATACAAAGTGAGCGAAATGTCTGTGCAGGTTGACTTTGATAAGGTGAGCCAAAATTACTTTTTATTTTAACAGTATGTCTACTAAACGAAGAAATTATTTAAATTTTTGGAACTACTTTTCTTAATGACATTAATTTGTCCAACTTCTACGTAAAATGTTGTAAAGTAACCGAAAATTTCATATAAAGAAATTAGTAGACAACCTGTTTTATACATAAAAAAATCGTATAGAATAAAAAATATTTTATGTAATGGTTCTAACTTTTTGTTACAGTACTTGGATCGATATTTTCCCAAGGTATGGAAAATAATAATTGCCCCTAAAGTTTCTGTTATAATAATATTTAAATTTGAATGGTATACTATTTGAGGAGTAAAAATAAGCCAGAAGGGTAATTTTTGGTTTTTTAAGATTATCGAAAGATGAAGAAGATGAAAATAAGGATGATCATTTGACAGAATTTTTATTTAATCCAATTTACATTAACTAGAATTTATAATTCAAAGAATCTCTGTTTAAGCCCCTTTTTAAAAATTTTTATTTAAACAAATTTTTATTTAGAAGAATTCTTAATTCTGAAGTTTGGAAATTCAGCTAATACAACATTCCGTTAATTAAAAAGTCGGCTGAATAAATATTTGTTAATAAATAAAAATTTGTATAAATAAAAAAAGGGTTAAACGGAAATTATCTTAATTGTAAAAAATTCTGTTAAATGCTTTTCAATCACCAATATACTAACAAATGACCTTTGTGGTTTATTCATGCACTTCAACTATTTTTCCTGTATTATAATTTTATAGCTGTAAACATTTTTGCTTATTTGAATGGCTGATAAAAATCTAGTAGTAGTAAATATTGCAAGCACAAATGCCACTCACATCGTATAATTTAAGTACGATACACAATTTTTTCTATTTCTAACAAAAATTTCTTCTTAAATAAATTAATTCTTGAAGAATTATCATAAAATTTAAATTATAAATTGTTTAATGAATAATTTTACTTAAATATTTCAAAATTAATTTTTAAGAGTTGCGTTTACGATTTTTATAAATAGATCAACTTCAAAAAGTTTTAATTTGAAATTTTAGAAAATTTCAATTTTTAATGAATTTAATTAGAAATTTTAAAGGACTTAGATTTTTGAAAAGTTTTAATAATTTAAATTTTTCTGAATTAAATTATTAAAAATAATGGATTTATAGAAAAATTTGACTTAAAAACACTAAAAAAGATTGAATTTTGGAGAAGTTACAAACGATTGCAGAAATTCATTTTAAAAAGTAATAAAATTCTTCGTAAAAATTCAATTAAACTCACAAAATTTTCCCTTAAATTCTCGTTAAAATTTCAATTATTTTTGTAAATAATAAAATTCGTCTCAAAAATTCAATTATTAGCAAAAATTATAAAAGCATTTTTAGCAAAATTTCAATTATTTTCAAAAATTTTCCCCAATTCAATGATTCTCAATATTTAATATTTAAAAAAAATTTTCTAAAAGAATTCAATTATTTAAAAAAAAATTTGATAAAATTCTACACGAACATTCAATTATTTTCTAAAGTAATAAAACTTTTCCAGGAATTCAATTATTTAAAAATTTTTTATAAGTTTCTTCCCAATAATTTAATGATTTTCATGAAAATAATGAATTTTTTACAAGGATTCAATTATTTTCAAAAGTAATAAAATTCTTTGTAGGAATTCAATTATTTACATAAATAATAAAACTCAATGCAGAATTTCAATTATTTTTAATACAATTTTAAATGAATTCTTCGAAAAATGAATTTTCTTGAAAATTTTATTAAAATTCGCCGAAAGAATTCAATTACTTAAAAATTTGTTGATAAAATTCTGTATGAGAATTGAATTTTGAAAAGCATTTAATTATTGAATAAATTATATATTTTTGCATTTAAATAATTGAATTCTCGTTGAATTTTCAAAAATTTTAATAAAATTCTTAGCAAAATTTCAATTATATTATCACAAATTTTTCTCAATTCAATGTTTTTCAATATCTACTATGTATTTCAATAAAATTTTCCAAAAAATTCAAATATTTGAAAAAATTTTTAGATAGTAAAATAAAATCGCAAAATTTCAATTATTTTTAATTCCAATTTTAATCGAATTTCTGGAAAAATGTAATTATTCTTGGAAATTTTATTAAAATTCATGGAAAGAATTCAATTATTTAAAAATTTGTTGATAATATTCTTTATGAGAATTCAGTTTTAAGGAAGAATCTGACGGACAGTCAAATCAAAAGTTAGTCCAATGTTATAATTTTGTAATTTAAAAAAAAACACAAATTAAATTTTAAATTCATCTTGGTGGAAAGGTGAAGAATTTAATTTTGAATATTTAAAACGATTAAAAATTGCATTTGAATAAAAATTCCATTTTTCTGTCAATAAAAAACATTTGTTAAATTTTAGGTTACGTTACTTAAATCATTTATTATTGACAAGAAATTCTAATTTTTATTCAAATATAACTTTAAAATGTTCAAAATGTAGAAAATTAAATTCCTTACGCTTCTACCAAAAGAAATTTAAAATTTAATTTGACTTTTTTTAAAAATACGAAATAATGACATTGGACTAACTTTTTTTCCGATTGTTTGTCGGATTCTTCCTTAAGAAACATTCAATTATGGAAAAAATTATTTATTTTTGTATGTATTTGAATAATTAAATTCTCGTAAAATTTTCTAATAACAAGGGTCAGAATTTCTCAAACGGATCACCTAAAACTAAAAAATTTTCTTTTTGAACCAAAATAGTTTTTTTTGACGCTTAATATGGCTAAGAAGAATCCCTGAAAATATTAAGCCAACAAAATTTTTTTTGTAAAAGTTATTAACAATTGAATTTTTTAGTACTGCTAAATTAAAAAATTTTTTTCTCGAGTTCTAGTTGACGGATTTTAAAATTAAAATATGGGTTTCTTTCGTTTTGAATTGCACTATTTTAATATATTTTTTGTTTTTAAATTTTTTTATTTTTTATAATTTTTTATATAATTTGTTTATGAAATGTTAATAAACAAATATGTTCTTCACGTCCTAACAAAAAAATTAAAATTGTATTCTATTCCTGAAATGTCTCCGAGTGTAAAACCGTTTCGAAAAAAAATGAGCCTCAATTAGAAAAAAAGTTATGAATTAAAAACTGCAGCCGTGTAGGGCTTTATATGACGTTAAACTCACCCCGCGCGCATTGGCATTTTTTTCAAAATTGTCTGTAACGTACAAATTTTATCGGATTTTCATGGGCTTGGTCTTAAAATAAAGGGGATAAAATTTCTAAGAGATCCCACTAAAACAATTTTTGAATTTTCAATTGTTTATATTTTTTTTGTTACTCAAAGTTAACAATTTACAATATTTTTAGAAAAAATCATGTTTACTTTTTTATTTTTTCATTGCAGATGATTGGATCAATTTTAATTAGTCCAGCATGACCACCAGACAAATAATAATGTATAATACAATTTATTTAAATTGTTGCAAACAATGTTAATTAACAAATAGATAACTTTGGTTCTTTTTTATAAAAAAAAAATTTTTTTTGCAGACAAATTTATGTTTGTTTAAGTAATCTATGTCGATTTTAGTAAAAAATGATTTAAAATTTAAAAATTATTATTGTTATCGACAATTACTATGAACTATAATCAAGTTTCTTTAACATTTGTAAACATTTTAGGCATTTTTTAAACATAAAATGTCTATATAATATGTACATTCTTTCAAAAACTTTAAAAATTTCTTAGCTTAAACAATTACATTTGTTGTAAAGAAATTATTTACTTTTTAAACAAATAAATGGCTTATTTCTGCAAAAAGAAAAATTATTTTTCGTATTTTAACGAGTTTAAAGTCATGTAAAGCTCTACTTGATTATTGATAACTAAATTACTGTCCATATGATTGTTAATAACAATAGTAATTATTAAATTCAAAATAAATTTTTACCAAAATCGACATAGATTACTTAAATAAATATAAATTTGTCTGAAAAAAAATTTTGTTTATAAAAAAAGAACCAAAGTTATCTATTTGTTAATTAACATTGTTTGCAACAATTTAAATAAATTGTATTATACATTATTATTTGTCTGGTGGTCATGCTGGACTAATTAAAATTAATCCAATCATCTGCAATGAAAAAATGAAAAAGTAAACATGATTTTTTCTAAAAATATTGTAAATTGTTAACTTTGAGTAACAAAAAAAATATAAACAATTGAAAATTCAAAAATTGTTTTAGTGGGATCTCTTAGAAATTTTATCCCCTTTAATTAAGAGACCAAGCCCATGAAAATCCGATAAAATTTGTAGGTTACAGACAATTTTGAAAAAAATGCCAATGTGCGCGGGGCGAGTTTAACGTCATATAAAGCCCTACACGGCTGCAGTTTTTAATTCATAACTTTTTTTCTAATTCAGGCTCATTTTTTTCGAAACGGTTTTACACTTGGAGACATTTCAGGAATAGAATACAATTTTAATTTTTTTGTTAGGACGTGAAGAACATATTTGTTTATTAACATTTTATAAACAAATTATATAAAAAATTATAAAAAATAAAAAAATTTAAAAACAAAAAATATATTAAAATAGTGCAATTCAAAACGAAAGAAACCCATATTTTAATTTTAAAATCCGTCAACTAGAACTCGAGAAAAAAATTTTTTAATTTAGCAGTACTAAAAAATTCAATTGTTAATAACTTTTACAAAAAAATTTATTTTTGGCTTAATATTTTCAGGGATTCTTCTTAGCCATATTAAGCGTCAAAAAAACTATTTTGGTTCAAAAAGAAAATTTTTTAGATTTATGTGATCCGTTTGAGAAATTCTGACCCAACAATAGATTTAAAAATGAATTTTAGATAAATTTTTAGATAATAATTGAATATTAGAAGCAATATAGCATGAATTTTTAGGAATAATTGAATTTTCAATTGTAAAAATTAAAATATTTGAAAATCATAATTTTTCATACTTTTAACTAGCAATTCTGTAGAATTAATTTTTTTGAAAAACTTTAATAGAATTTTTTAAATTGTTTGAAGTTTTTATTTTCTAATATATATATTTAATTATTAAAAATATAAGATGAGAAAGAATTTTAGTTAAAAACTTTAGAAAATAATAATTGAATTGAAATGATGAAAATAATTTTGAAAAAGTTACAGTAACAATATTTTTATAATATAAAATAATGATTTTATCACTCGGTCAATTATAAATCGATGACTTCAAGTCGAAGACTCGGAGTTATTGATTTCCTAATGTTTTATAATAAATATTCTTATAAGTTATTGAATTTCAAAAGTTTTGAATTTGAAATTTTTTAAAATCCTAATTCCTATGGAAAAATAATAATTATTAAATATTTATTTGAAATAAAACTGTTCATGTTATCGAAGAATTTTACAATTATTTTGAGAGTGAATCAGAATATTCTTTGGGGTCAGGGAAAAAATCTAAATCAGTCAGGAAAAAGTCTGGAAATCAGGGAAATATCAGGGAGAAAAAATTAAATTTTTATAGTTACCCTGTGTGTATATTTATACTTAATTAATACTTTAAATTTATTACTTGCATAATTAAGATTTACATCTGGTGATCCATCTTTATACAGACGACCAATAATAATTAATCCTACATAGAAAGGTCTATGTAGATCCTATATACATTGTAAAAATTTACAGTGGTAAATAACAATTGGAGTGAGGAGTAAAAATTTCTCAATGAAAAATCTACTCCAAGCAGGGAGTTAATTTACTCTTAAGAGTGAAGTATTTCATACACTGTTCATTTGCTCCGTTGAAAATCAACTAAACTGTTTATAAACAGTTTATATAACAAGGGTCTCTTACTTCTCTCCGTTTAAATAATTTGAGAGAATGATTATTTTCCTAAATGAATTTAAGAAATAATGTCAAGTTCATCTTATCGAAATTAATATCAGGGTCAATTTAAAGTGCTACAAATTATGATAATTTTATATTAAATATCTATCTACTTTTTATTTTCTGATAAAAACATTATTATTTTTACACAAAAACGCACTCAATTGAAGTAGATTTTCTCAAAATTTCCACAGTAAATATTTTAGGCTAGATTATTATTTGGACGCATGGATAGGGTTTATAACTCTCTAGATAGAATTTTCGTTTCACTGATTTTCATTTGTGATTCCATAATATCAAAATGTCCGCTATATGATAATATTACATGTTAATTGAGGAATTTTTTGTTTTAAAAAATATGCAAGGGAAAACAAATGAAAATCCATCGTATATTTAAAAGACACACTATTTCAGTTAATGTATACACCTAATATTTCTTCAAAATTGTAGAGGACATTTTGATATCACTGTAAGATTATCTAATAAGTTCTAGGGCCTATTCAAGCGTCTCTCTCACTGTAACATAAAACAGTAGCTAAAAAAAGAAATTATACCTATAGTTTTCCCTTTTTGATGTATTTATTTTTAGTGTGAGGAAATTTGAATTCCTTCACTTAAGAGATATTTTGTTTCAGCTTCCAAATGTAACCGGAGCAATTGGAGACATCACTCAATTAATGGAAGAGAACATAGTCTATGAAGTGAGTCAGGGAAGAGAATCTTTCCTCAGAATTCAAAAGGATATTCAACATGCAGTAAATGAAACAATTCCAGTCGTTAGTGCAAGCATCAGAAGAGCTGGCAATGCTCTTGAGAATGCAGCTAGAAATATAACTAATCTTATTGACAGATTTATATTCGAGATTACAAAATCTCACATTCCTGCTCTTGATGGCGCTAAAAGTTATATTGATCAATACGCACCTTACAGGTAAAATTATACATCAATATTTTTAAGATTACCCATAGATAATGTCACCTGGTTTGCGGGTGAAATTAAAAATTCACTGGATTCGCTTGTAACTTGTCACTCTGGGGTTTTTGAAGTTGCTGATTACGAATCGAATGTCAGATTAATAAAATTTCAAATGACGGACGTAATTTTAAAATTCATCAGAATTGTTTCAAATTCATTACTCGAGGGATTTTGTGGATTATGAATCCAGTGTCAAATTTTTAAAATTCAAAACCCGATGAGTGATAAATTTTAAGCGAATCTGATGAATTTTAAATTCCGTTTGCTATGCTGGATCCGTTTTGACGGATTTTTATGAAATTTGATAGGTGTATTACGCTCATGAATACCTAAAATCAGACAGAAGAATTTTCAAAAATATCTAAAAAAAAAAATTTTTATCAATTTTTTAATTTTGGAAAAAATCGAATTTGTATTTTTTAAATAATTTTTTTCTTTATAAAAATTTTCATTAATTATTGTCAAAATTATATTCCTGGCATGAAAACGAATCGATTCATGTATATAAAGTATATATTTTATCAATATTTATAAAATTAATTGATATTTTTATTTTTAACAAAAAATCAAAATTTTGTATTTTTTGAAATTTTTATCTTAATACTTTAAAATAATTATTCTATAATAAAAAGTTAAGCAATTGGTAAATATTATATTGAGGAAGCTAAATGATCATGTTTATATTGTGTAAAACAAAAAGTAATTCTTATTAAATATTTTGGATGTAATAAGGATTTAAATATAATTGAAGTATTAATGACGTCATAAAAAATAATTAAATTAAAAGAAAAAAAAGCCAACAGCACGCGGTATTCCCAAGCGGTCACCCATCCAAGTACTAACCGCGCCCAAAGATGCTTAACTTCAGTGATCGGACGAGAACTGGTTTTATTTTATTTTGAAATCGTTTATTAATAGCCAAAATCAATTATAATACAATATTTATAATAAACAATAAATTCTATTACATATTTTCTAAGACTTACTGGCTAATACATCGCTCTCGAAGTCATGTACATTATTTTATGCCCACGAATGCATATTTGTGTTATTTAATTGTCTTATTTTTATTTTGTTCTTAATTCCATGAAGAAATTATGTCGTTTGTCATTTTATTTCGATCAGAAAAGGCTTAAAAACTGACCATTAATACTTTTTATTTAATTTATGAAAATAATAAATTAGAATAACCTGAATAAACTATTATATGAGAAAAAAATAAAATTTAACAATAACAAAGGGTAAGAAAAGAGTAATAAAAAAAAAGAAAAAAAAGTAAATTAACCTAAACTAGCTTAAAACTATAGATATTTACAAATTTTAATAAATCGATGATTTTTATTACATAAAGGTATATACTTTTATTACATTTTTATGCTATAATTAATTAGTATTGCAAACATTTTATTTACATTTGTACTTAAATTATATAATAATTATTTCTAATTCCGTGGTATTTACAGTTTGTTAATGTTATTATTATTGTCAAAGAGTAAGTTACTTATATAACTACTCGTCTAACCAAAAGTATTTTTTAACATTTTGTCTATGTTTATCTTTCAATTCTTTGTTTGTGATGAATGTAGTATATCGCCATTCATCATTTGGTATAGTAGTGTCTAAGTGTTTGTCGTACAGAAACGATTTCTTCCTGGCATTTCTTTTATAGTGGTATATTACTGGGGCACCGTGGGTGTCCTGTATATAACCATTTTTGTCCAGGTAAGGGAACGCTTCTGGAGGGACAAAATTAGTTTTTATTACGTTTTCAAAATAATTGTCATTTGGATAGTAAATAGAATAAATTAAGCTATTGTCAGTTACGTTTCGAATACTTGCAAAGTAATTCCTTGTTATTTTAATTATTTGTGTGTCAATTTTATTGATATTCGCTAAGTTGTAAATAACTTTACTTGATATGTATTTTTTGAAATTTGACTCAGCTGATCTATATTTTCCTAAACATACTCTTAGGCATTTTCTTTCGAATACTCTTATTTTTTCTACAATCGATGCACTTAGGTTGTACCAAATAGGACATGCATATAATAATATGGGTCTTATAAATAACATGTAACACAATATTTTTATTTTGCAGTGTAAGTGTTTGTTATACATTAATCGTCTTAATTTATTGAATACAATTTTTGCATTTTCTAGTTGTGTGTTGATGTGTTTAATAAAGTAAAGTGTTTGGTCTATGTTAAGTCCTAAGTATTTTACTATTGTTTTATTTGGTACTGGTTCGCCGTCATCTTTTCTTTCTTTAATTTGGAAATTTTTCCAGTTTTTTCTAACATTTTTACTGGCTTCTGAGAGAGGAGTTCTGAAAAAAATGGTTTCACATTTGGAGACGTTTACTTTTAATTTCCATGTGTAAAGATAATATTGAACGTTTTCAAACAGTTCTTGCAATGTTTTTTGAATTTCCGAGGCTTTTTTACCTACAACGTATATGATCATATCATCTGCAAATGCGATACCTTTTTTGTTTTCATCTATGTTTATGTCATACATTTTTAGTATTTCATAAATATAGATGTTAAATAATATCGGTGATAGAACAGTTCCTTGTTGGAGGCCATTTTTAACTGTAAACTCTTTGTTCAATACTATATTACCGTCTGTTATCACGAATTTTTTGTCTGTTATCATATTTTTTAATAATTTAATTAAGTGTTTTGGAAATGAATTTTTTAGTAATTTAAATATTAATCCTTCTGTCCAAACAGTATCAAAGGCTTTTTCAAGGTCAATTAAACAAGCTCCCACGTATTTTTTATTGTTAAGAGCTTGAGTAACATCTGACATTAATTTATTAATGGCGTGGATTGTAGAGTGCTTATGTCTAAATCCATATTGTTGTTCGGGAATGATGTTTTTCTCTGCGCAAATTTTTTCTAATGAAACTTTTACTACTTTTTCAAATATTTTACTAATATTCGGGAGAAGACTAATTGGTCTAAAGTCACTTGGTTGTACGCTATTTTTCCCTTTTTTCGGAATAGGGATAATTTTTGATTTTTTCCATTTTTTTGGAAAGTGACTGTTGTTAAGTATATTGTTAAAAATTATGCAGTAATCCTCTATTATTTGATTTGGTAGGTTTTTTAGTACAATGTTAGGGATTTCATCAATACCTGTTGACTTTTTATTATTTAAATTACGAAATATTTTTGTTAATTTACACCCTGAGGTAAAATAATTTGGAAAAATTTCGTCTAATAAGTGAGTGTCATTTGCGTGTAAATTATTACTGAAGTTTACTAATGTGTTATTGTTTATTCTATCATTTTCAATTTCTTGATCTAGTGTTACAATTTTATTACGGATTATTTTATTAAGTCCTTCTCTTCCGTAATTTAAGAATTTTGTGTGTGTGTTTTTAAAATGAGTTCCGATTATTTTGAGTTTATCCTCATTATTGGATACTAAAAATTTATTATTGTTGTCTGTAGGCAGGTTTTGTGCAGGTACCTGCGATTCTTGTAAGAGCGGTTCATTTTGGTGGTCAATTTGGAGTTGTGGTATAGAAATTTTTCCTTTTGTTCTGAATATGCTATTCACTTGGGGAAACATATTTTTCGGATCATTGGCAGGAATACTTTTTATTTTTTCTCTCCAATAACCATTTATAGAATTAATATATTCTTGCTTGAGTAGGGCTTTTAATGCAATTAATTTATTTTTAAGGAAATTTAGTTCTCTGTTATTATGTGTTTGAAAATTTCTATAGATTTTGTTTATTTGTGTTATTATTTTACTTTTTGCTTTACAAATTTTTTTAATAAGAGGTGTTTGGTAAATTTCCATTGAGTTTTTGCTTTTTATTTTTGGCAATGAAGCGTTCATAGCAAGTGTTATACATTCGTTTATGTCATTTAAATATTTATCAATTTCATCGTTCGTTAGATTCTTATTGTTAGATATTTCAATGTCATAATTTTGATCCATTGTATTTTTAAATTTTTCCCAATTAGTTTGTCTATAGTTAAATTTATGATTGTTTAATGCTTTTTCTAGGATAAAATCAGTATGTGAATTGTATGTTACATTTAATAAAATTGCATTGTGATCACTGTCATATTGTAATGTTCTAAGTCTGTCAGTATTGTTGTATTTTGTTACGTTGAGTCTGGAGTCTAAGATACCTAAATCTAAATATGAGTTTCCTCTGGGAAATGAGGGTAGATTCGAAGTGTATAATTTGAGTTTATAATTTATTTCGTTGTCATCTATCCATTTTCGTAAAAATGTTCCTCTAGTGTTAAAATTTTCATTTTGCCAACTAGTGTGTTTGGCATTTAAATCACCTGTCAATATAAAGAAATTGTCAGGCTCGTCTAATTTAAGAGTTTGAAATAATTTGTCAATTTCTTGGTTAAAATTTAACCTATTCCCATATGCCGCGTAAGCAGATATTACAAAAAGCCTTTGATTGTTAGGTAAATTGATTTTTATGATAACAGTTTCTAGATTTTGAAACTGTTCTATCTCCGATAAAATTATTCGTTTAAATTTATATTCTTTTTTAATGAGTATTGCTACTCCTCCACCTAATGTCGCGTTTGGTCGGTCTCTTCTAATGACTATATAGTTTTGAAAGTCTATTTTATGGATTTGGTTTAATTTAGTTTCACTAAGTGTCATTATGTCTGGGTTATGTGTTTTTAAAAAATTTAATAAATTATTTCGTCTTTGGTTTGTTACTATAGAGTTAACATTTATTGATATTATTTTCAAATTTTTTATTGTTATGCTATTTGTTAGTTTACTATCCATTTTGAGTTGGATCAATTATAAGTGAGTATAGGTTTTGAATTTTTTCACAATTTTCTTTAACTAATTTTTGAATTTGAAGGACTTGATTAGCTATTTCATTTATGTTTTTTTCCAAATTTTGTGTATTGTTTAATATTTGTTCATTGTTGTTTGTTGGTTGTGAGATGTTTTTTTGTGTGTTTTGTGGTATACCTTTTTGTAACATATTTGCATAAGAAGATTCAGAAGTAGTAAAATTATTGTACATTCGATCCTTTACAATTCTATTGTTTCTTATTGATTCTAGTCTCTCTTGTATTCTACGTTTTAATTCTATTCTTTTTTCACAGCCTCTATAAGAAGCTGGATGGCCAAATTTTTTACAAGTTACGCAGTATACTTGTTCTCTTTCGTTGGCATTCATGGGTTGCGGAAGTTTACAATTACCTGGTTCATGACTTTCATTACAATTCACACATCTATAATCTAAATGACAATTCGAGGCCACATGTCCAAGTCTTTGACATTTTTTACATTGGATACTTTCTGATTTTTTCAGTTTTTCCCATCTGATAACTTGATAATTAACGTACTTTATTTTATGCAAAATACTTATGTCGCTGGTTGGTGACAATTGCACTAGATAAAAAGGCAAGATTTTGTTCTCTTTTTGAGATTTTGGTGTTGTAAATCTTGAAACTTTAAGAAATTGGATATTTACTGAATTAAATGTTTTTAAATTTTCAAGAATATTATTTGGTTCAGTACTTGAATCTAGACCTTTTAAGATAAATGATTTTACTTTTTCTTCTTTTAGTGTGTATGTAAAGAATTTGGAGTTTGTGACCTCGAGTTGCGTTTTAGCTTTTTTATAATCATTAATATTTTCGGTGTATAAAGAATGCTTGTCTTTATTAATTCTCTTAATGTGAAAATTTTTCGAATCTAAGTGTTCTTTCATAAGGCTTACCGTTGTTGTTTGCTCTTGTCCATAGATTATGATCGGAGGCGGTTTACCTGAAGTACCCTTGCTGGTGGTTGTGTTGATTGCTTTATTGGGGGCAATTTGTCCTTGAGTGTTTACCTCTTCTTTGGTGTTTTTGGAAGTTGTGGGATTGATGGAAGGTTCTGGTTGCTTGTTTTTTTCACTTTTTTCAGTTGTAAAATTTTGTGTCTGCTGCTGGGGAAAACCCATTGCCGCTTCATCTACTATTTTCGTGTTTTCTGGCTGCACATCTGTTTCCATTTCTGAATTTGGGTTTTTATTGTAGAGTTTTTCTAGTTTGTTAATCCTCTCAGTTTGCTGTTGTATCGTTTGTAGAAGTTCTTCTATTATCTTCTGTTGATTCATGTTACTGGTCATGATTTCATCGTATTTTTTGACAGAAATTTCCATATTTTTTACCATATTTGTGCTTTTAATAGGTGATATCACTGGATCACTTATAGTTGGTGCTTGTGTTGACCATTTATTCGGAGATAAATTTGGTTTCACATAGGGTTTTTGAATTTCAGTTTTTTTAACACCGTTTTTTTGTGCTTTCAAATTTGATTGTTTTTTATTATTGTCTTGCAAAGGTGACATTTTTGAATTTTTATCATTTTTAACCATAATTGGATTGGTTAGAAAAAATGAGTTTAAATTGTCCACATTTACTATTTTCTGAGGGAATTGATCCCTTTTTTCACTGCTATTGATTATTATATCACTATCACTTTTCACATTTGAACTGCACGGTATATTGGCGGTTGACACTCGCGCGGGCGCGAAACCCGGCCTATGGGCCGCTTCCGTTTTGGCGGTATATTTAATTTTCGTATCTTGAGAAAATTATTTTAATTTTTTTTTCGCGCTTGGATTCGGTGAGTTTTCTCTACCTGCACCAAAAGACGACTTATCCCTTCGATAGTTTAGAAGGTACTGGACGAGAACTGGTTTTTTCATCGTGGTGTGGCCGTTGCCTGTGTACTTAAAAGTGTTGAAAAGTTTTAAATTAGTATACTAATTAATTATACATGTATACATGTCTATACTTTTTCCTTGTAAAAATAACGTCTTTTTCGATTTTCACACACAAAAATATCTAAAAAAAATTTTTTTTTAATTTTTGAAAACAATTGAATTTGAATTTTTTTAAATAATTTTTTTTTTATTAATATTTTCATTAATTCTTGTCCAAATTACATTCCTGACATGAAAACGAATTAATTGATGTATATAAATTATACATTTTATAGAAATTTATAAAATAATCGATATTTCTATTTTAAAAAAAAATTCAAATTTTGTATTTTTTGAAATTTTTATCTTAATACTTTAAAATAATTATTCTATAATAAAATGTTAAGCAATTGGTATATATACTATATTTCAAAGTGTAATCGTAAAATTTGAACTCAATGTTATAAAATTCAGTGCGTTTCATTTTTGATTTCGATTATTAACACCACAACATAATATAAATAAATATGATTCTTATGTTAATGATTTAAATAATATAACGTAACGAATTTTATAAACTACAAAGTTTTTTTATAGAAAAACAAAAGTATTATAATTTTTAAGAAAATATTGATAATCAAAATACCTTTTTATTTGTTTTTATACAATTTAAATATAATTCAAATTTTTTGGTCATATCGACTCTATAAAATTTTTTTAAAATATTAACTTTTTTTTAACAAATAAGCATATATTTTCAACATTAATTTTTTGAAGAGAATTGGGAAAGTAGAATTGATCAGGGAAAAGTCAGATCACAAAAAAGACACAGAAATTTAAAAACTGATTTTTTGTGTCTTTTTTGTTTACCTTGTAAATTATAAAATTACCATGAATTCTAATAAAAAAACTATAAATTTTTTATATTTTTGACAATAATTTTTTTTAAATAACTTAATTCTTGAAGAGTTATCGCATAAAATTATTACATACAAGTTATTTAATGAATAATTTTACTTAAATATTTGAAAAGTAATTGACTTTTAAAAAAGTTGCGTTTATAATTTTCATTGAATTTCAAAATGTTTTAATTTGCAATTTTCTAAAATTTCAAATTTGAATGAATTTAATTGAATTTTTAAAAAAAATTATTTGAAGTTTTTATTTTCTAATCTATATTTAATAATTCTTTTCACTACGTCATCTTTAATTATTATAAGTTGTTGACTTTCAAAAAGGTTTGAATTTGAAATTTTTGAAAATCTTTTTTTCTATGAATTATTATAAATATTAAAGAAAAAGTTATTGATGTTTTCGAAAAATTTGAAAGAAATTTGTAAATAAATGTTATTTTCTATCAAAGAATCCAAAACTGTAAGAAATTTGCGTATCAATACATTGTTAATATACTTTTTAATACATTTTAATTTGTTTGGTATATTTTTTGTGAAAAGCTTTCACCTTCTTTGAGGATAAAACATATTGTGATGCTTGAAAAAGCCAAAAATTTCAGGTTATATTTGTATTTTTTGAAATGAAAATGTATAAAAGAAATTAATTCTTTTATAAAGGAGTTAAACTCCTTTAGAGTATTGTGATTTATTTCTCAAAATGACATTTTGTTAAGCAAAAAATGTGTATAATACCCTCTTCATTTTTTATGTTACTCTTTGAATTTCTATATATTCTTACAGTTTCTAGACCGTTTTAAACATCTTATTTCATTTAGAATTTTTAATTTTATTTTTCATATAATTTTTACTAATTGTTTAAAATTAATTCGGATAGAGATACAAATTTGTCATTTATTAATATTATTTTGATATTCTTCTATTAAACTGTAAGATTCACTACAATAACTAACTTTCTAATGGACTCAGTGAAAAACCAAAAATGTCTAATTATATTACTTTATTTTCATTATTACACTACAACGGTGTTTACATCTATACCGAACTTAAACTTTTGAAGCGCCAACCTTCATATTGTATCTGTTTTTATATGTTACAAATGTAACTCTTAGAATTAGGGAGTACGTAATGTACGAAAGGGCATGTCCCGTTATGTTATTAAATAAATGAATAAATTCTTAATATAAACTATTAATATTTAAGTCTTTATTAAATACAAAATATTTAATAAAAATTGATTTGCTTCTTAGGTCCCTTTCTTCGGAACGCGTCTCATTTATTTTAGTGTACGTATTCTAAAAAAAACTCGTGAATAAATGTAAATTTTTTGTAGGTATTACCTTGGCCTCGGAATATCAGGGATATTACTCATGGTATTAATGTGCATAATCTTTGGACTTTTCTGTGGTATTTGTGGAAAACGACCAGATGGCTATGGAGACGATTGCTGCGACAAAGGATCCGGTGCAAGATTTCTAATGATGTAATTATCAATTTATCATTTGAGGAGTAAATTTTCAAAAACAGTGTCAGGTCCATTTGTGAGATCTTTGAAATATTAAATTTACGTTTATCTCAATTTTTTTGAAAACTGGATTTATCAGCTTTTGAAAACTTGTTCCTCAATTATTTTTGCAGGGTGGCCACTGGTTAGAAAGAGCGTTAAAATCGGAAAAAAATTATAAATTTATTTGAATACAAAATTGCAATTTGTTTTTTAAACAAATCATAAATAATAACGAAAAAAGATTTGAATTTACCAACTTTTAAATGCTAATAATTGTTACTTAAACATAAAAAAGTCTAAATGAGCTTTGAAATAAGATTTATGATATAATTTTTAGTAGCCGCCACCCTGTCTTGATTACTTCTTGGTTTAGAAGAATATTAATATTATAAAATAATTTCAGGGCTGTTTGGATTATCTTCTTGCTAACCAGCATTTTAATGATCGTGACTGTAGCTCATATGATCACAGGCGTCGCTGCACAGAGGGGAATTTGTGAACCTTTGAAGAATCCTAAAGACAACAGAATGTTTAAACTCTTGGATGATTTTGTCCGAATTAAACGATTCTTATATCCTAACCATCCTAATGCTAACATCAATATGAGTTACATTTTGTCGTAAGTAATTCTCTTTTCTCTATTTCATAATGCAGGGTTGCCACGAAACCTTGAAAAGTCAGGGATTTTTATTAAAAGTACTGGAAAAAATTTAATTTTTTAAATTTATAAGAAAATTCTGTCATTTAGTGTCTTTCTTGTTTGCCTCATAAACTATGAAATCACCACGAATTCTAATAAAAAACTTTCAATTTTTCTAATCCTGACAATAACTTCTTTTTAAATAACTATCATAAAATTATTAGTTAGAAAATATTTAATGAATAATATTATTTAAATATTTCAAAATTAATTCAATTTTAAAAGAGTTGCGTTTACAATTTTTGTAAATAGGTCAACTACAAAAATATTTTAATTTGAAATTTTATGAAAATTCAATTTTCAATGAATTTGATGAGAAATTTTCAAGAACTTTGATTTTTGAAAATTTTTAATTCAAATTCTTTTTAAATTAGTTAAATTTTTTAATATATATTTAATTAATTATTCAAAATATTATTAATAATGGATTTATAGAATAATTTTTGTTAAACATAAAAAAAATTGAATTTTGGAAAAGTTACAAATGATTGCAAAAATTCAATTATTTTCAAAAATTTTAATAAAATTCTACTGAAATATTTAATTTAATTAATTTAATAATAAAAACTTCACAAAAATTCTAATATTTACAAACTTTTTATAAATTTCTTCGCAATTATTTTTAATATAATTTTAATCGAGTACAATATTCAGTTTTAGTTAGAAACACTAAAATAATTGAATTTTGGAGAAAAGTTACAAATAATAGCAAAAAATTCAGTATTTTTAAAAAAGATAAAATACTTCGCAAAATTCAATTTCTCCAACGCTTGCTCTGAAAGGAGTACTTTTCTTGGTAGAAAAGTGTGGCGAAAGTATAACTTTTCTCAACTGCTCTGAAGAGCGTGGCGAAAGTAAAATTTGGCGTGGCGAAAGTAAATTCAGCGTGGCGAAAGTAAATCATGAATTTATTCTTTTTTCTTGTTCTTTGACCGAGATTTATTTTGTATCTAACTTCTTCCCCACTCAAAAAATTCATCTTTTATTATATTAAACATAAGCACACGTTAAATAAAAATTATACGAAACTCACGAAGAAACCTTTCCTCGCAAGGCGTTGGAGAAAACGTAGTGCACAACTCGTGGTGAAAGAATGATTTTTCGAGAGTGAAGTTTGCGGCTCGAGCGTCAAATTCTCGTCAAAATTTCAATTATTTTCAAAAATTTTCCTCAATTCAATGATTTCCAATATCTACTATGTATTTTAATAAAATTTTTCAAAAGAATTCAATTATTTAAAAAAAGTTTTAATAAAATTTCATGCAATCATTTAATTATTTTCATAAATAATAAAAATTTCACAGGGATTCAATTATTTTTTTAATAATTTAAATTTAATATAAATTTTCTATAAATTTCTTTGCAGAATAATTCAATTATTTTCATGAATAATAAAACTTTTTACAGGGACAAAATTCTTTTTATAAATAATAAAATGTTTTACAGGAATTCAATTATTTTCATTTTTCATAAATAATAAAATTCTTTTTAGCAATTCAATTATTTTCATTAATAAAAGTCATCGCAGAATTTCAAATTATTTTTAATACAATAACAAATATAAATTCCTCAAAGAATGCATTTCTTAATAATTTTATTAAAATTCTTTTAAAAAATTCAATTATTTTCGAAAATTTTAATAAATTCTAGTCAAGAATAATTCAATTATCTTTATAAATAGCAAAATTCTTTGCAGAGATTCAATTATTTCCAAAAAATCTAAAAAAATTGTTGTCAACATTTCAATTATCTTTATAAATAAATAGTAAAATTCTTCGACAAAATTCAATTTTTTTGATAAATAATAGTACCATTGATCACAAGAAATCAATTCTTTTTAAAAATTTTTAAAATAAATTCTTTTCAACATTTTAATTATGTTTATAAATAGCAAAATTCTTCGTAAAAATTCAATTGAAGCGTTTTGTGCAGAAACCGCATAAGTCCATTTTTTTCGAAAATCACTTTTTTATTAAAAACTAGCTGTCGTACCCGTCTTCGACGGGTTTTAGTTTCTACCAATACATTTAACAATGTTTCTACCAATCTGGAAAATCAGAAAAAAGTCGAAAATTTAATTTGACCGGAAAATTAATAATTAGTTACCAATAGCTATTTCGGTAGTATAATATTACTATTTGAATAGTCTCCACCTTTTAGCAAAAAATAAAAAATTATCAAAAATTCGAAAAACCCAATTTCTTAAAATTCAACATTTTTTCTTCTTTTTTTATGGCATTTAGCTTCATTATTTTTGGGCTCTTCAAAAATAATTTACTTATTAAAAATACTCCACCCTTTGGTAAAAAATCTAAAATTATGGAAAATTAGCAAAAATTCAAAAAACCGAATTTCTTAAAATTCAACATTTTTTCTTCTTTTTTATGGCATTTAGCTTCATTTCTTTTGGGCTCTTCAAAAATACTTTACCTAATTTGTTATCTCCACCCTTTGGTAAAAAATCTAAAATTATGGAAAATTAGTAAAAATTCAAAAAAATTAAATTTCTTAAAATTCAACATTTTTTCTTCTTTTTTTATGGCATTTAGTTTCATTATTTTTGTGCTCTTCAGAAATAATTTACTTATTAAAAATTCTCCACCCTTTGGTAAAAAATCTAAAATTATGGAAAATTAGCAAAAATTCAAAAAACCGAATTTCTTAAAATTCAACATTTTTTCTTCTTTTTTATGGCATTTAGCTTCATTTCTTTTGGGCTCTTCAAAAATACTTTACCTAATTTGTTATCTCCACCCTTTGGTAAAAAATCTAAAATTATGGAAAATTAGTAAAAATTCAAAAAACTGAATTTCTTAAAATTCAACATTTTTTCTTCTTTTTTTATGGCATTTAGCTTCATTATTTTTGTGCTCTTCAGAAATAATTTACTTATTAAAAATTCTCCACCCTTTGGTAAAAAATCTAAAATTATGGAAAATTAGCAAAAATTCAAAAAACCGAATTTCTTAAAATTCAACATTTTTTCTTCTTTTTTATGGCATTTAGCTTCATTATTTTTGTGCTCTTCAAAAATACTTTACTTAATTTGTTATCTCTACCCTTTGGTAAAAAATCTAAAATTATGGAAAATTAGCAAAAATTCAAAAAACTGAATTTCTTAAAATTCAACATTTTTCCTTCTTTTTTATGGCATTTAGCTTCATTTCTTTTGGGCTCTTCAAAAATACTTTACCTAATTTGTTATCTCCACCCTTTGGTAAAAAATCTAAAATTATGGAAAATTAGTAAAAATTCAAAAAACTGAATTTCTTAAAATTCAACATTTTTCCTTCTTTTTATTGCATTTAGCTTTAATATTTTTGTGCTTTTCAAAAATAATTTACTTATTTAATAGTCTCCACCCTTTGGTAAAAAATTTAAAATTATGGAAAATTAGCAAAAATTCAAAAAACCGAATTTCTTAAATTTCAATATTTTTCCTTTTTTTTTATGGCATTTAGCTTTATTATTTTTGTGCTCTTTAAAAATACTTTACTTAATTTGTTATCTCTACTCTTTCGTAAAAAATCTAAAATTATGATAAATTAGCAAAAATTCAACATTTTTCCTTCTTTTATGGCTTTTACCTTCATTATTTTTGTGCTTTTTAAAAATACTTTACTTATTTAATAGTCTTCACCCTTTGGCAAAAAATCTAAAATTATGGAAAATTAGTAAAAATTCAAAAAACTGAATTTCTTAAAATTCAATATTTTTTCTTCTTTTTTATGGCATTTAGCTTCATTATTTTTGTGCTCTTCAAAAATATTTTACTTATTTAATAGTCTTCATTCTTTGGCAAAAAATCTAAAATTATGGAAAATTATCATAAAATATTTATTATAAAACATCTCCATTTTTAAAGTCTCTGAACTTCTGTCAATTAAAGAATACTGAATGAATTGGATAAATAATTATGAATTGCATTATTTTGACGTCAAAATCTTAATCAGAGACCTTAAAAATACTACTGAATTAAACTTGATAGTAATTAATAACAATTATAATTTTGATTGGGGTACAAATGTTCCAAAACGGAAGTTCCAATCGAAAAGTTCCAAGAAAAAAGTTCCAAAATGAAAATATCAAAAATTTATTTTTCCACAGTACAAAAGTTCCAAAATCCAAAATGTCCAAAATATAAATTTACCAAAGTATAAAATTTCCAAAATAAAAAGTGTTTGTTTGAAAAAATAAGTTTAAAAATGTAAATTGTAGCCGATGGCCCTAAGATATCCAAGAATGTCATTATTATCCACACAATCTTGAAAATTTAGAACGATATTAAAAATCCTGTCTTCAGCGATTACCGCGAACATAAGTAACCTATAATGTTAGTTAATTTTAGTAATATTAGTTATATTTATTTTTCTTTATTTTTAAAACAATTACATATATTTTATATAACTTTCCATCCGAATGCTTGCAATATAGAAATCCTTCGATATGTAAATAATTTTTTTTTCGACTTGTAATATTTCTGCCATAATTAATCAAAAATATAATTTCACTGTTCACTATTTTCTAATTTAAATAAAGTGTTTCATATACTTTACAATTTAATACAATTTCACTGATTACTATTTTTAATTTGAATACAATTTTTAATTTCACAACATGATTTTGGAATGAGCACACGTCGAAGCACAATTTATGAAAATAACAACGATAATAACAACTGAAAGTTTCCTGACGTGAAGTTGTACTTTGAAATTTGAAAAATATTTCAAAAAACAATGTTTGGAAAAAACGACGATTGGAAAAAAAATACTTTGGTAAAAATGGTCTTTGGAAAAATAATATTTTGGAAAAAATTTAATTTGGGAAAATAATAATTTGGGCCCTTCGGAATTGGAACTTTTGTTTTGGAACTTTTGACTCCATACCATAATTTTTTCGATTTTTTGATATCGAAAATATTTTTGTACTTACATCTTAGTCATATCATTTTTTGTGCAAAATTATGCGAAAATGTGACTAAATAACATGTAATACTCAATTATACAGTGTTTAAAAGCAATTCATTAAACAATGTAAACTTTGTAAACTTGCGATTTTTTTAATTATTTGAAAACTTTTTTATACTTAAATCGTAAAATTATGCTAAAATGTGACTAAATAACATGTAATACTTAATTATAGATAGTTTAAAAGCAGTCCATTAAAAAATATAAAATTTGGAAATTTGCGATTTTTTGAATTTTTCTAAATCATTTTCATACTTACGTCTTAGTTATAGGACAGTACTTTTTTAAAAATTATGCTAAAATTTGACTAAATAACATGTAATACTCAATTATAGAGAGTTTAAAAGCAATTTATTATAAAATATAAAATTTGAAAAATTTCGATTTTTTGAATTTTTAAAAAAAAATGTATACTTACTGTACATCTTAGTTATAGGACATTATTTTTGGCAAAACTATTCTAAAATGTGACTAAATAACATGTTATACTCAATTATAGAAAGTTTGAAAGCATTTTTTAAAAAAATGTAAAATTTGAAAATTTTTGATTTTTGAATTTTTCGAAAAAATTGAATATCTCCCGTTCTAATTAATATTTTTCAAATCTGTAAATTTATAAACCTTCCTTGGCCCAAGATCTAACATTCTGCCAAATTTGGTTTCAAATGGTTCAGCCGTTTTTAAGTGATGCGCGAACAAAGATTCTGTGACATACCGACACACATACATACATACATACACGAAATTTTTTATTGGTATTTTTGGAATCCTTGATGCCTAAAACGAATAATTATGTGCGAAATTTAAAGTTCTGAGCAATGTACAGACAAAAGTCTGATTTTATATATATAGATAGATAGATAGATAGATTTATCTTTAAATGAAGCTTTTCAATCTGGTAAAATATTACATAAGTGACTAAACTCTAAACCCTTAAAAAAAATAATTAAAATATCATTTTGTGCAGAAACAGCACAATTCCATGATAAGTTTTATATTTATTTGTGATATTCTTGACGTATTTTAATAATTTATACCTATTAAACAGTTTATATTATAAATAAAAACACTCATGGGAAGCAAAAAGTGACAGTGCTGACTGAATTATTTTAAAATTAGAAAATACTAGCTGTCGGACCCGTCTTCGACGGGTTTTAGTTTCTGGTAATACATTTGATAGGGTGTCTACCAACCGGGAAATAGCCGGGAATTAAATTTGACTGGGAAAAATTAATAATTAGTTACCATTAACTATTTTGTTAGAAAAATATCACTATTTGAATAAGTTCATTATTCCCGGCTATTTATCGGTTTCCCCGCGCAATTAGTAGACACTCTGTCAAATCTATTATGGTAGAAACTAAATCCCGTCAAAGACTGGTATACATAACATATTTTCTTAAAAAAGAGTATTTTCATAAAATAAGTCAATTTTTGTAGCCATCTGCAGATTTATTTATGGCTAAAACTTAAAATCAAGTAAATTTAAATTTGTTTAAAAAAAATAAACCGGGTAAAATTTGAACACCGCCGGGATGTTTTTTAAACAAACATAGAGACCCTGCTTAACTTTTGTCTTTACATTGCTCAAAACATCTTTAGAAGTTTAATCTAAAAGTAAAATAACGTAATTTTTTATTAGAATGAATTGGATAAATAATTATGAACTGCATTATTTTGACATCAAAATCTTAGTCAGAGACCCCAAAAATATTACTGACTTAAGCTTGATAGTAATTGATAACAATTATAATTTTTTCCATTTTTTGATATCGAAAATATTTTTATACTTACATCTTAGTCATATTATTTTTTGTGCAAAATTATGCTAAAATGTGAATAAGTAACATGTAATACTTAATTATTATAGATAGTTTAAAAGCAGTCCATTAGGAAATATAAAATTTGGAAATTTGCGATTTTTTGAATTTTTCGAAATCATTAATTTTTATACTTACATTTTAGTTATAGGACAGTATTTTTGAAAAAATTATGCTAAAATTTGACTAAATAACATTCTATACTTAATTATAGAAAGTTTGAAAGCATTTTTTAAAAAAATGTAAAATTTGAAAATGTTTGATTTTTGAATTTTTTGAAAAAATTAAATATCTCCGGTTCTAATTAATATTTTTCAAATCTGTAAATTTATAAACCTTCCTTGGCCCAAGATCTAACATTCTGCCAAATTTGGTTTCAAACGGTTCAGCCGTTTTTAAGTGATGCGCGAACAAAGATTCTGTGACATACCGACACACATACATACATACATACATACATACATACATACACGAAATTTTTTATTGGTATATTTGGAATCCTTGATGCCTACAACGAATAATTATGTGCGAAATTTAAAGTTCTGAGCAATGTACAGACAAAAGTCTGATTTTATATATATAGATTGAAAATTGGTTAAATTTATTCTTAAAACAATTTTATTATTTATAAAATGTTACCAAAAATTATCCAAATTTAATATTTTAAATAAATGTTATTAAATATTTCATAAAACTTTGATATTTCACTGGATTTAATAAATTTTTTGTGTTTTTCATTTCATTTTGTGCAGAAACAGCATAAGTCCAAATGTTAATCAATTTTTAATTTTTTATATTAAGTAGATAATTAATTAATCATATTGGATTTTTTAACTTATAGGTTAGTAGAATATAATGCAAAAAGCCGAATTAAAAAAAATCTTAACATTTACGAGAAAAACAGTTTTTATTGATTCCTGAACAATTTCGAATTATGGACTTATGCTGTTTCTGCACAAAACGCTTCAATTATATTCAAGAAAAATTTTTTTTTTTTAAATTTCATTGCAAAATTCAATTATTCTCATAAATAATAGTATTCATCACAAGAATTCAATTATTTTCAATATTAATAAAATTCTTCGCAGAAATTAAATTATTTACAAAAAATCTAAAAAAAATTGTCAACATTTCAATTATCTTTATAAATGAATACCAAAATTCTTCGACAAAATTCAATTATTTTTAGGTTTTTAATAAAATTCTTTTCAGGGATTTAATTACTTTCATAAATAATAAAATCATTCGGAGGAAGTCAATTATTTTCATAAATAAAAATATTTATCACAAGAATTCAATTATTTTTAAAAATTTTAATAAAACTCATTGCAAAATGTCAATTATTTAAAAAAAATTTTCTTAATTCAATGATTTCCAAATTTATCATATTAATAAAATTTTCCAAAAGAGTTCAATTATTTAACAACAATTTTGACAAAGATCTACACGAATATTCAATTATTTTCAAAAGTAATGAAAATTTCACAGGAATCCAATTATTAAAAATAGAATTTGCATAAATTTTTTCGAAAAGAATTAATTGTTTGGAACTTTTTTATAAAATTCTTTGCAATAATTCAATTATTTAAAAATTTGTTGATAAAATTATGTATAAGAATTCAATTTTAAGAAACATTAAATTATTTAATAAATTATCTATGTTTGTATTTAAATAATTGAATAATTCTTCTAGAATTTTCTAATAAAAATTGATTTAAAATTTAATTTTTGTTAAAGTTTTAGATAATAATTGAATTTTGGAGAAGTTACTAATAATTGCAATTTTTAGAAATAATTGAATTTTGTAAAGGTTTCAAATAAAAATCTTTGAAAACTTGAATTTTTCATACATTTAATTAAAAATTCTATGGAACTAATTTTTCTCAAAAACCTCAATCAAAGTATTTTTAAATTATTTTAAGTTTTTATTTTCTAATGTTTATTTAATTGAAGAATTTCCGAATAATAAAGAAAGAACTTTGTCGAAAATTGTTAAAAATAATTGATTTAAAGAAGAATTCTATTCAAAAGTTGTAGAAAATAAGAATTGAATTGAAATGATGAAAAGAATTTTGAAGAAGTTACAGTAACAATATTCTTATAATGTTAAATAATAATTTTATCACTCGGTCAATTATAAAACATGAAGACATCGATGACTCGATTATTAATTCCTTCATGTTTTATAATAAATATTCTTATAAGTTGTGTAATTTGAAAAAGGTTTGAATTCGAAATTTTTGAAAATCCTAATTCCTATGGAAAAATAATAATGATTAAAGATTTATTTTATATAAAACTATTCATGTTTTCGAATAATTTTACAATTTTATTATTTTGAGAGTGAATCAGAATATTCTTTAGGGTCAGGGAAAAAAGTCAAAATCAGTCAGGAAAAAGTCTGTAAATCAGGGAAAAGTCAGGAAAAAAGAAAATTAAATTTTTGTGGCAACAATGATAATTGTAAAAAGTTATTATTCATTACTTATGACTAAAGCACAATCATACAGCATAATAATTCACTTAATAATATTTTCCAGAGCTTGTCATGCGAATAAAACTTTATACAAGGTTCTTTTATTTGAGAACATAATTGAGGTGAAAAGTTTGCGAAATTACGTTGAACGCTATGACATCAACAACACAATTCAACAGCTGAGACAGAAGATAATTTTTTCGCCAGGAATAGTAATTTTCAGCGATAGAGCCAGAGGGAAACTAAATGAATTAGCAGAGAGTGGCCTAAGCGATATTAAATTCTATCAGTATGCTGAGGTTCTTAGGGAGAATATCACGAATATTAATCTTCGTTATCTCGCCTCGAAATTGCGAGAAGTATCAACGCAACTGCCTTACAGCTATAAAGACACTAAAGAAAGTTTGGAGAAAAATGCCCACGATTTGGAGCATTATCATAGGGACTTGGTGATGCCAATGGCGACGTTGGGCGAACAACTCAGCGAAAGTGCTTTGACACTTCAGGAGCACATTAAATTCAATCACAGCTCAATGAGCGAGGCTATTCACGTTTTAATAAATGAAGTCACACAAGCTCAAAGTTTCCTTAATAAAGAAGGACCTGAATATGTTGAATTGGTAATTTCTCTTTTTCATTTATTATTATTCTATAATATAATATTTGCCTTTTCCTAAATCCCTTTTTTAAATTTATTATTATTCTATAATATAATATTTGCCTTTTACAAAATCCCCATTTTTAATAATCTTATATTATTGTTATGATTAGAATTGTAAAAGATTAAAGAATATTTTTTTGATATTTACTTCTTCATGTTGCTAAAGAAATTTTTAATTTTTTACAGCTCGCAAGTAGATTTGGAGATGCATTTGTTTCTCAAGTGGACAGTTTCTTAGAACATGTTATCAATAATGCTTTGACTACTGTTGGCAAATGTGGACCTGTTTCAAATGCATACAATGCTACACTAGTCGCTGGTTGTAATAAAATTCTTGACCCTTTCGTAAGTATTGATACAGACAAATATTAATATTTTCTGTATTTTATCTTTTCTTTCTTTCGTCGTAAAATATTTCTATTAAAAGTAATATCCACTATTTTAATAAAATTTTCCAAAAGAATTCAATTTTTTAAAAGAAATTTTAATAGAATTCTATGCAAACATTTAATTATTTTCATTAATAATAAAAATTTCACAGGAATTCAATTATTTACAAATTTTTTTTATTAATTTCTATGCAAGAATTCAATTATTTTCATAAATATAATAGAAATTTTTACAGGAATTCAATTATTTTCTGAAAAAAATAAAATTCTTTTTAGGAACTCAATTATTTTCATAAATAATAAAACTCATTGCAGAATTTGAATTATTTTTAATCAAATTTTAATCAAATTCCTCGAAAAATGTAATTATTCTTAAAAATTTTGTTCATAAAATTCTTTATGAGAATTTTATTTTAAGAAACATTGAATTAAAAAAATTATTTTTAAAATTTTAATTATTTTCAAAAGTAATAAAATTTTTCTCCGAAATTTATTTATTTTCAAAATTTTTTTTAAATAATTAATTTAAATTAAAAATTAATAAATTAAATAAATAATAAATTAATTTCAATTCTTTTTAATAAAATTTTAATCGAATTTCTCGAAAAAATGTAATTATTCTTAAAATTTGTTATTAAAATTCGTCAAAAGAATTCAATTACATAAAAAATTGTTGATAAAATTCTTTACGAGAATTTAATTTTAAGAAACATTCAATTATTCAATAAATTATTTTTGTATTTAAATAATTGAATTCTCGTAGGATTTTCTAATAAAAATTTATTTAAAAATGAATTTCAGTTCATGATTCAGATAATAATTGATTATAAAAGCATTATAGCTTGAATTTTTAGAAATAATTGAATTTATTTAAAGTTTTTATTTTCTAATATATATATATTTAATTGAAGAATTTGCGAATAATAGAATTGTTTTAAGAAAATTTGTCCTACTCTAGTAATATTATAATTATTCTAACTTTAAGAATAAAATACATGGAAAATATACTTAAATAGGAGCCAAGATTATATTCTTAAATTTAGACAATATCGTTTTTTCGGTGAATGGATTTGAAAATTCTCAAATAACTTTTTCAAAAATTATTAAAAATGATTGATTTAAAGAAGAATTTTAGTTAAAAATTCTGGAAAATAATAATTGAATTGAAATGATGAAAATAATTTTGAAGAAGTTGCAGTAACAATATTGTTATAATTTAAAAAAAATGATTCCGTCACCTTTAATTATTATAAAACATGAAGAAATCGATCAGTTCGAGTGATCGATATCTTCATGTATTATAATGATATTTTTGTAAGTTGTTGAATTTCAAAAAGGTTTGAATTTAAAATTTTTGAAAATCTTAATTCTTATGGAAAAATAATAATTATTTAATTATAATTTTCAGAATGGCTTTTGGGTGAGCGTAGGATGGTGCTTGATCTTGTTTATTCCGACTATAATTCTCTGCGTTAAATTGAGTGCTCTTTATCAAAAATCCGATCCATACCCAGGACCATTGGTTGAGGCGTAAGTATTCCTTTTTATCAATGACTCTTGAAAATATTAAACAAAGTAAATATTCTAATTAAGAATTAATGAGAGTTTGGACGTTGAAAGAAAAATGCTGTTTTTAGAATATAGGAGCCTGTTTAAAATATCAATCACTGATATGGGTTCCCATTTAAAATACGCCAGGAAAGTCAGGGAATGTCAGTGAATTTCATTCAAAGGGAGGGAAATTTTTATAAATTCATAAAAAAATTAAAACTTTTGTAAATTAAAAATTTTGAAATCTAACAAAACTTAAATGGTTTTTATTATTATTTCTTAGTCTCATTTGATTATTAATTTATTGTTAAATATGTTAGTAACCGTATTTTTGTTCCAAGAAAGCAGAAATATGGTTAATAGAAAGTCAGGGAATTTTTTTCTTAATTCTTGCTGGACACACTGCTTAACTACTGAAAATTTAGGGCACTTATGAGAAAGCGGTTTCCTTGTAATAATTTATTATGGAACATAATTTTTTAAAGCAAGAATAAATGCAAATTGCGTAACTTCAGAAGGATGAATTTCAGGGATGGCTTAAATAATTGATAAAGTAAGAAGTCAATAGAAATGTAGGAGTCACGTGACTGAATTGTGTGACTCACTTTTATCTCACCAAAAATTACTTTAGTCGATATTAGTTATTTCCGCACTTTGCAGCTCGTTTTTTCGTAACTTTTCCTACTGTCAGTCTCGCTGTGTAATTTTAGTTTCTAACCCTGGGTCGTTGGTTATGCGGACAACTCGCTTGTGTGTCCGTATAATTCGAAAAGTCACATTGACGAAAAAGCAGAAACGTGCAATTTGTAAATTACAAGAAATATTAAAGTATTAGCCCCTTTTAGCGACAAAACTCTCATTAGCGCTTAAACATTGGTCTTTTTTGACAATAAATATTTAGTTTTCATTTGGGTCAGTCCATTATAATTCACCTAAAGTCGTAGCGGACTATTTTTAGAAAAATCTCGTAATTTGTAGAAATGATGTTTAATATCTTTAGAATTCATTTTTGAGAATTATTATCAAAAAATTTTTGAATTTGAGTTAGAATTTTAATTTTTAAGTTGAGGTGCACATAGAAACTAACCTTTTCTCTGTGCACCTCAACTTAAAAATTAAAATTCTAACTCAAATTCAAAAAAAAAAATTTGAAAATAATTGTCAAAAATGAATTTTGCAGATATTAAACATCAATTCTACAAAGTATAAGAATTTTTTAAAAATAGGCCGCAACAACTTTCGGTAAAATATAATGGATTGACCCATTTATAGTTTTTAAACCCTACTTTTATTCATTAAGCAGCTAGTAATAAATATTATTTTTATTAATCTTAAGTATATTATTCACATTCAGTCTGAATTTACTTAAAACTTTAAGTTCTTGACAATTAGGTTTTTTCATGTTTTCAAGAAACGCCTCCTGATGTTTTTTGAGCCTAAGATGTAAAAGTCGCTAAGGCCGTTTTTTAAAAATTAATTTTTTTGAAATTTTCAAAGAAGTTAATCAACATACACTACTGTCGGAAATTATTGGTACTCCACGCCTCAAGTTTGAGAGCGATCGAAACAAATTTTTTTTACCTTGATCACTTTACGTGAAATCACTCTTGACGGATTTTACGTCAACTCAACCGAAAATTTTGGTTTTGCGCCGTTTCTTACAACTGGGGCAGCACTTTTAGTAAAAACCCTGATAAAGAAACAAAAAGACACTGAAAATTTCTGCAATCTTAACATTAAGTATTGTCAGAAGATACCAAGGAAGGATTTCTAAAAGCTTACTACGAAATAAGATTTCTACAAGCTTGCCATGAAAGATAGCTATCTTTACAAGCTTACTACGAAATGTCACTCAAGAATTGTTACAAATTTGCTGCAATGTTTCAGAATTATTTCTCAAATGTAAACAATTTTCTTTTTTTTTTAATTTGGAGATCTGTCTAAAGTTGATTTTTATTAATTGTGCTCTTCTTGTTTAAATTCGGGAATTACCTACCATTCCAAAAAATATGACAAGTAAGGCATAATTAATCAAAATCATCTGTAGGAAGATCTCTAAATTGAAAAGAAAATAAAATTTTTTTACACTTGAGAAATAATTATAAAAAGTTGCAGCATGCTTGCAACGACCTTGCAATAAATCTGTTGACAGTCTTGTGTTGCAAGCAGGCAAGCTTGCCTAGGATTTTTAAAATTCCACACTAAAAAATTTATAAAAGCGCAAATGAGTTTGTTTTCGAAGTCTTAACAGTTTTTTTTTATTTTTTGGGATTTCACGGGTGGCTGGAGAATGTTTCAACCCTCAAATTGCATTCCTCCAGATTTTCCTGTTGAGCCTTATTCGGGGTGGCTCCCTAAACATTTTTCTATGAGAAAAAGAAAAATCCTCACGGTGGGCAGGAAGAGAGGATAAATTGCACAAAACTATGGACAAAAACTGAAAAGAGCTGTATTTAGTGATGATTACAGATGAAAAATCCGTTTAGAGTGAAATCCTAGCTGCTTCTATTCGAAAAATATCCACATTTTCTGCATTCCTGATATAATCAATTTTGGCGAAGAAAGAAGGACGTGCATCTTGAACTTTGTAATATATTTATATCTGCTTCTTTAAGAAGTTTCGGACAATGATTTCCTTCAAAATTTATTTCGCCCCAATAAAGACTCTCCCTTTCCAATGCCGTCGATTTTAAGAATACCATCCCAAAAGAGATGATTATCAAACCCTTGTAAGAGATGTAGTTCATCGTCGAAAACTTCTTAAAGAAGCACTTACATAACAGAATCCTGAAATTTATGATGTTGTAGGACCATTTTGATTACAACTTTTCATTATCTCATTCAAAGCAATTAATAAAATTGTTAATACTTGCTTTTCTGCAAAACAAGCAGATCTTAGTGATTTTGACAAAAATTTAATCGAACCTCATGAAATCAACTTTTGTGGACCGATTAAAGAAAGTTGTAGTGACATTTTTATCCCAGCATATTTAAAATTAAAAACTTTCAGTTTTTGTCGACAGTTTTATGCAACCTATTGTCCCTTCCTGCCCACCAAGTTTGATGGAATAAATTTTTACTGAAGCTATTAGGCCAAACAAAGAAATAAACCTCTATTTATATAATTTAGGCTTCCAAAAATATTTAATTACAATAATATCAATTTATACTTATAAGCCTTTAAAAAATCCCTAAAAAAGCTTTATTCCGAGGGGGAATTAACTTGGTAGTCAGTATTACCATGTAATACCTCTATAATCAGCCTTAATTATTTTACAATAATAACAGCGTAACAATGATAGTTCATTGTAAATTTCTCATTACCAGTAAATTCCCTCTTCGATTTTTTCTTTAAGCGTCCAAATTATGAAGATAAGCTATAACATAAATGAATCTTTTGGCTGTATTCTTTCTTTTTGCATATTTTTTTTCTTAGAAATTATGTCAAATGCTTTGCTATATAGAAAAAATCTGAATTTAAAAAAAATCCTTATGTTATTGACATTTTGAGCGAAAATAAAATTCATTGTCGCTTTACGATTATTGTTGTTTTTATCATTTATTTGATTTGATACAGAAGAAAAACAAATCCAGGTTTTTTCTTTATAAAAAAGCAAAGCGTTTTGTTTCTTTTAAAGTGCCTTAGTAAATTTTAAGATTATAAATATAGTAGCTAATTAATATTTGGAATGGTTGTTGGAATCTAACCGCTAATACGCTCCGTTCCAGTGAATATTTGTATGACGCATATGCCGACAGGGATAACATACCCCTTGCTCAGTAAGTATATTTTGTTAGAGATGGCATACCGCTGCATGACAAATTTTAAACAGAAATAATGCATGATTTTTAAGTTATATAATTTCTATGTCCACGTTTCCTTTTTACGAATTTTAAATTAAACTTTTATTTCGTAGATACCTTACTGCATTTTTTTTTATTTACAAGCAGTTTTATTATTTTCAGCAAAAACATTGCATGGAAGTTATTTTTAAGACATTATTAAATATTTCCTCAAATGTCTGGAAAGCATTACTAAGACAACTGAAAGGCCTGTTTTGAATTTAATTTTTTCCCCTCAAGTATGAAAATGATTGTTTGAAATCGCCAGGGAGTCGTTCATATACAATTTTTTATCACTTTTTGACCCTCCCTTCCCCTAATGTGGACTTTTGACGATCCCATCTCATCCCAAAACTGTTCACGTGTTATACAAACGACCACCAGTTTTGTGCGTTTGAAATAAAAAGTATCGTAAGTTACAAGAAAATAAGGCATCCCACCCACACAGCATCGAAACTTTTCTAAAAGTTGAAATTACCTTGACTGCAATGAAACTTAAAGTTGATCCGTTGGTCCGTTGTTATTCAACTTTCGCGTCAAACATTGAAAAACAGTCAAAATTTAAAGAATTACTTCAACTTTAAAGAGCCTTGTAACTAAAGATTCCGAACATTGCAGTCAAGTTTATTTTAACATTCAGGAAATTTTCGGTGCTGTGTGGGTTCACAACCAAATTTTTTTCACAATCTTCCAATGCGACTAACAAATTCGGCTATGCGGGTACTAATATGGGTCCAATTCTTATCATCTGTCTTTTTTACCAAATCGTGAAATATCATTTTTGTGCAAAGGCATAAAAATTCTCCATATAGTGAAAGAACGGATTGTAAGATAGATTTCTCCCATTTTAACAAACGCGGAAGACCAGTCCTTTATTTTTGCGATCGCACGGAATTTCTAGTTGGACAAGAGCTAAATTTAAGATGTTCCTTCCAGCGTTGACATCCCTGTTCCATGCAGTGTTGCAACTATACCAAAAGGCAGTTCTATTTCTCATAATTTTCATTTTCTTATTGCATGTACTGCATATTTGATTGGTATAGTATTCGTACATAAAATCAAGACGTAAATATTTATCTTGCTTTTAAATGAGGAGCCTGGCAGAAACTAATTTATCAGATGATGGAGACTCGAGAAAGAGGTGAGCAAACCTAATTTCAACCATAAAACAAGCAGCGAAGTCAGCGGGGATGGTTAAAAGCATCAAACTAGGAAGTAAGCAAGCACGCAACCAATGTAATAATAAAGAAGACGATGAGAAACGGAAGGATCAGAAAAAATTGGTCTGGGAGAAATTGAAAAAATACCTAAAAACGAAAACAGATGTGGGCAGGGAAGAACTTAAGTTGGAACGGAAGAAACTAAAAACTCTAATTGCTGAAATCAAAAAAAGAGAAAGAGACAGAAAGTGGGAAAAATGAAAGGAAGCAAAAATATGAAAGAATTTTGGGCAAATCTGGGAGCATTTAGACCTAAGGAAAAGAAGATGAAGGGTAAAAGCATCAAGAAAAAAAAGTGGAAAAAGTACTTCATGGACCTGCTTGGTGGATCGGAAAACGAGTGTTCGCAGACGGAAGAGGAGAGTCACCTTGAAGACAGTGAATCAATAGAAATAGCTACAGAGGAAAATGATAATGAGCAAGAGGAACTAAATAGGCCTATCACGTACGATGAACTAGCCAAGGCGATAGTGAACGGTCTCTGGAATCACAAAGGAGGCGATAAAGAAGACACCGGGAACTACAGAGGGATAGCGCTGTTGGATGTTGGATACAAAATACTAGCAAGAATCATGGACGCGAGAATTAGAGTCTGGTTGGAAAGCCGCAGTTTGTATAAAGAAAGTCAGGCCAGATTCCGAAAGAATAGATCAACAAGAGACCATATTTTCGTTTTAAATTCTTTAATTAACAACAAACTAAAGAAGGAAAAAGGGAAGCTATATGTGGCTTTTATAGACTTCAAGAAAGCATTTGATATAGTCGATAGGCAAATTCTTTTGGAGAAACTGGAGCGGAAGGGCTTGAAAGGGAAAATGACAAAAATGATAGGAAAAATCTTTTCGAAGACGACGAACGAAGTAATAACGGGGGAAGGAGTTACAGATGACTTCAAGACAACAAGAGGTGTAAGGCAAGGGTGCCCATTAAGTCCCACTCTTTTCAACGTTTTCATTGAAGATATGGAAGATGAATGGGAGAGAAAAAATGTAGGTGGTACAGTAATAGGTAAAACTAAAATTTTCGCACAAAAATTCGCGGGGCGCACGATTATTCCTCAAATTTCAATTTCCTAATGTTCAAAACATCAAAATTCTTATCATCGAAACATCATTTCGCATAATTTTCAGTTTTCGAAATTTCATTCAACATAATTTTTAATTTATCGATTTATTCTTTATCCTATTATTTAAATAGTCGAATTGTTTTTTAATATAATTTTTAATATGTCGAAAATTTTTTTGACATACATTTTGTTTTTCCGAATGACTATTTGTCATAATTATTAATCCTCATAATTGCCATTTGACATAATTTTCAAACCTTCGAAATATTATATTACATAACTTTCATTTATCTAAATTTTATTTGTCATAATGTTCATTTACTCGAATTATCAAGTGACATAAAGCGCATTTACTCGAATTCTCATGTGACATAACCTTCAAATCTTCAAAATGTCATATTAAAGAAATTTCATTTATCGAAATTTTATTTGTCATAATGTTCATTACTCGAATTATCAAGTGACATAAAACGCATTTACTCGAATTCTCATGAGACATAACCTTTAGATCTACGAAATGTCATATTTCAGAAATTTTATTTGTCATAATTTTCATTTATTCGAATAACCATTTAACATAAAATTTATTTGTCCGAAATTGCATTTGACATAATTTTCAAACATCCGAATTACTTTTTAACCTATAAAATGCAAGTCACAGAAAGTTCATTTATCCTAAAAATAACAATGAAATTTTCAAACATTTTTCTCATTTCTATTGTTATTTTTAGGACAAATGAACTTTCTGTGACTTGCATTTTATAGGTTAAAAAGTAATTCGGATGTTTGAAAATTATGTCAAATGGAATTTCGGACAAATAAATTTTATGTTAAATGGTTATTCGAATAAATGAAAATTATGACAAATAAAATTTCTGAAATATGACATTTCGTAGATCTAAAGGTTATGTCTCATGAGAATTCGAGTAAATGCGTTTTATGTCACTTGATAATTCGAGTAATGAACATTATGACAAATAAAATTTCGATAAATGAAATTTCTTTAATATGACATTTTGAAGATTTGAAGGTTATGTCACATGAGAATTCGAGTAAATGCGCTTTATGTCACTTGATAATTCGAGTAAATGAACATTATGACAAATAAAATTTAGATAAATGAAAGTTATGTAATATAATATTTCGAAGGTTTGAAAATTATGTCAAATGGCAATTCGGAGGATTAATAATTATGACAAATAGTCATTCGGAAAAACAAAATGTATGTAAAAAAAATTTTCGACATATTAAAAATTATATTAAAAAACAATTCGACTATTTAAATAATAGGATAAAGAATAAATCGATAAATAGGCCAGTCAATGAAGACAAAAAGTGCACAAAAATACAAACAGCAAAGTCTAAACGGTTTCTGGTAGTTTGGGGGCTCCTTATAAGAGCCCCACAGTTTGCTCTCGATTTCCGGGTGCGAAAAACAGTGTAAACAATCGCCAAAGTTTGGAAAACATGGTTTTTCGATGCTCGTTGCTTCCGGTTAAGTTTTAGGGGAAAAAGTTGTTATTGAAAGTTATAGAGCTTGGAAATACCTTACAAATGATGGGTCATACGTTAAAAAAGGTTAATTAGTTTAGTTGCAAATGAATTTAAACCATTAAAAATAGCACTTCTTTAATTGTTTAATAACATTGTTAATAATTATCGAATTTGTTCATAACTTACCAGGAATGTTCTCCTTGCGTAGCTGAATAAATCCCAAAAAAAATTAACTAGATCGGAGAAATAGTTTATGCATAATTCCATTTGTTAACTAAAAACATGTAATTTTTCAACGGAATTTCCCCACTTTTGGTCCATCGAATTTCGATTTTTTTTTTTGGAAAGTACACTTAAGAAGTCAAACTTTCATCCTACTTAAATGGCCAATTGATTTTTTTTATCTAAGTGCATAATAATGGACTTCAAAAAAGGGTATGTTTTTTTTACATAAACAAATGGAATAACTCAGTCAATTTTAACTTTATCAATTTAGTGTAAACGGCATTTAATTTTATTTGTTTTTACAAAACTTTTTCAAAAAAAAATCCAACCTAGTTTTAAGGGGGGGAGAGTTAGTTTTTATTTTTCAAAAAATTCCTGACTAGATAATAATTAATATTTTTAATTGAAAATTGTGCCACTTATAGTTCAATACATGTATTTTACGAAAAAAAATTGAACATAAGGTTTTGTGCATTTATTTTTCATTTACATCAAGTAAAAGTAAATATATCCTTTTTTCAACCTCTAAACGTCGGAGTGGGGGTACTCGGAGGAGCGTGATTCACGCCGCCACAACTCAATTCAGCCGTTCAAATTTGCAAAAATTGTCATAACTTCGTTAATTATTTACCGATTTTAATCATTCTTTTTTTAATTTGATGTATTTTTTTACGCTGAATCCAAAAATGATTTTATATTTTTTCAAAATACAATATTTTTAAAAATAAAAGAGAAAATTTTTTTAACAAAAAATTTTTAATTATTATTTATAACATTTGACAAAAAATTCTTTTCATACATATAATTCCGTTGAATTGAAAATAATATTATGACATAAAAAAATTCAAATTATTTTTATATAAGTGTGTAGCATTAGGTTCACATATGCACGCCTGTTCAACTATCAGTACAACGATGCTACACACTTATAT